TAAATTGTAAAATAGCATTTTCTAAGCTGTGTTAATTGTCCTTTGAAGTCCAGAGCAGCAAAAATGCAAGGCAATATTCCAGTTACTCTGATCATTTTTTTCGAAGGTTAAACACTATATACCAGTCCCTAACTGTAGCTCACTGTGTGCACGGTAGAAGTACCAAACTGGACATCTGCTGCTGTCCTCTTTACCAGTGAGGCCACTTTAAAAAGCTGTCTGCTGTGCTTTCAAAGAAACCCATCACTGTGTTCCAGCACCGAAGACAATAGCAGAGGGCAAAGATGTAACCTCTCTTGCCCAAATGTTATACATTCACGTTACATCTCCTGCAGATGAGAAACCATCATTACAATGAAGAAGAAAACAAATTTTGGAACAGTGTATTTTTCTGAATTATTGTTTCGATCAGAAATGAAGTGGCAGAACTGCCCAATCTTAGTATTATTCATTAAGCAGGTTCATTATGGTTGTATCTATCAGCCAACCCACATCAGATCCTCTTGTGCTAGACATTATAAAACCAACAGCTGTTCTGAAAGTTGGACCATGCAGAAAATCATTTTGTACCGCTAAAATGTGTCGCTTGGAGGAGTGCCTAACCTTGTAACTTTTTTAGTACAAACATTTTTGGAGTAAGAAAAATGGCGTAATATTAATTTCACCCAAAAGCTCAGACTATATAGGCCATGCTACTCAGAAACAGAACATCAGCCAGAACACGTTGCTTGTTCGTGACTGGAAGGAGCCAGAGAAGAGGCAGAAACAAGCAGTCACAGCTGCAGAGGAAGGGTGGAAAATGCTGCCTAAGAGAAACACGAATCTTTCTTTCTGATAGAAAACAGACTGGAATAAATCTGTGACTACTGAATAAATATCAAAGGTATGTTCTTCTACAAGGAAGCAGAACTTTGTCAGTGCCACTACCAACTCTACCCTTGACTTGGTTTTCTGGTGGAAATAATATGTGAGGCCATGACTACTGGCTCAAAATGGATTTGAGCTACATTTCTTGAGTTTGGATCAGAAGAGGCAAGAGATATCACTGCTTTTGCCCTTAATGTTGCAGCGTGTTTGTCCTTCATTTAAAACTAAAATTAAATGACTGTGCTTTTTCTTCCTCCCAGCCTCCCACACAGCAGCTCTGCTGCAAATCAGATGCCATGTAGGGTAGGTACCTCTTCTTTCCAAATGCCTTGTTTAAACTCCTCCTTCCCTTCTGTTCAGCTTGTTTTACAGTACTATAAACCCTAGGCTTGGTCCACCAGTCTATGTGTATACACTAAGTCCATAACCTTGTTTGTAGATTCTGATGACCTCTGGGGAGAATATATCAACACTTTTTCATCTCACCACAGCAGTGAAAGTGAGTAAAACACAGTTGTTTTGTCTTTGAGCAGTGGATTTGATGAGGAAGTTATCTTGGTAATTAAAAGAACCCAACCCCCTGCAAGGACTCCGAATGGCTTCTCTATTAATCACTATAAGGACACTATTGACCTACTGCGTTTGTAAGAAGCCTGACCTTAACAAAGTAGACATATATTTTTTTTCTAAGTCAAAGAACATTTCATTTGATAAAGTCTAAGAGCTTTCCCTCACAGATATTACAGTAATAAACTGTGACTGAAAGAAGTTAGTAAATATAACCCCGCACATCTTAAATCTATGATTTATATCATAGAATTATGGAATGGTTTGGGTTGGAAGGGGCCTTAAAGATCACCTAGTTCCAATCCCCTGCCATGGGCAGGGACACCTTCCACCAGACCAGGGTGCTCCAAGCCCCGTCCAACCTGGCCTTGAACCCTTCCAGGGAGGGGGCAACCACAGCTTCTCTGGGCACCCTGTGCCAGCACCTCACCACCCTCACAGTGAAGAATTTCTTCCTTATTTCATCTAAATCTGCCCTCTTTCAGTTTAAATTCATTACCCCTCATCCTATTCCTATACTCCCAGATAAAGGATCCTTCCCCATCTTTCCTGTAGGTCCCCTTTAATTACTGAGAGGCCACTACAAGGTCTCCCTGCAGCCTTTTCCTCTCTGGGCTGAACAACCCCAACTCTCTCAGCCTGTCCTCATAGGAGAGGTGCTCCAGACCCCTGATCATCTTCTGGCCTCCTCTGGACTCGCTTGAGCAGCATATGCTTACCAAGCTATTTTAAGTATAAAACAATAATGTTCAGCTCTTCCAGGAAGACAGGGCTAACCCAGTCTTCCAATGGATCCATCTGGGTGTTAAAGCCTGCTGAGAGCTCACCACTGATGGAGTTAGCAGACGTCAGCCAACCAGCAGTGTCCATCCCTGCTCTTAACCTACAGCAAAAGTGAGACGCGAGGCTAACATAAACCCCTTCCCCTGTGACAGCATCTTTGGAGATGTTTTTCTCACATTTGAAACAGTTTATGAGCAGGAACATGGCCAACTACCATGGCTCAATCAGTGGCAACTCATGAAGGTGTTGCAAATCACTTACGTATCTGCTGTGATCAATGGATATCTTATTTTACCCACATATGGGAAAGCTGGACATGGCTGCTGCAGGAGGGATTTGTGGCGTACAGGTCTGAGTGACTCCAACAATTTTGTTCTGCTCTGCTGCTGAGATTTGGCTGAATCCTCTGATAACTATTCCATGTATAAATACTCGATGTCATTGTTCCTTCAGCATTTCTTAGATCTTGTCCAATTTGAGCTGTAGGTTGTTGGGGGCAGGACTGTCCTTGGAGAGACTTTTGTACCACAATGGCATGCCCGAGTTCCATCCGTGGACTTGTGCACAGAAATACAAGGCAGTTTTTTAGTTACAGACAATAATAATGCCTGAACTTCTGGGCTAAAACCCCCAGGCACCAGAAAGATACAGAGTTGGTTTAGTCAGTCAGATCTTAATTGAGAAACAGAAATGCAGCAAAAAAATCTAAGCTAAAGCTGTGTTTTGAGATACACAGGAGAGGATGCTGGCACCAATATGCTTATGCACTGATACTCAGGTCTCAAGAGAAAAGGCTTCAAAAGAAGAACTGCCATGCCACGTATGGAGAAAAATCCAGGTTCAGCCAAGTCTGTTTTTGTTATTTGTAATATTGATGACTCTCCCATGGCCACAAGATGCAGTGCATCACATACGAGCTGGAATGAGCCTCTATTATATCTATGGCATGGGATTCTACTATGGCAACCCTCATCAAAGGGCAAGGCTCACAGATGTTTTTCCCCAGGCAGGAGGGAGCCATGTGGGCTAGCCCCCAGTGCACCCTTCCCGCCAGTGTTCAAACTCAGCAGCAAGCGACTGCAGGTTGCTTGTCTGCCACCGTTAGTCTCTAAGGATTGAGAGCAAATGTATAAGGAAAATGTAATGAAACAGGTGGAAGTAAGTGGAAAGTGGGATAAAATGTGAGAGGGCTTTGCCAAAGGAAGATTTTGCGAGCCAAACTCAGTGGTCACTGTGAGAAGCGAGGTTCCTGAATAAGGAGAAGGCAGAAGATCCATTATTGCTAGTCCTTGGTCAGCGTTTGGTCCGTGGAAGGCTGTTACAGGGGTTGGTGAGGTGCTGCAGGGAGGGTAGAAAACCGGCAAACAGGAGATACCACAGAGGGAACGCTTCCCCACAGAAGGAAGCTCCGGAAGGATCAGGCATTACACCTACCTAAAATTTAACAGGTTCACCCACTACCTCAGCATTAAATTATGGGGTGTACAGGTGAAATTTCCCAATGTTTGGGACTGGAGGGACAGCTGGGAGAATGATCAGATTTTCATGAACTTGAGGACTGGAATAGCATGATGGTACTTCAAGTAGGAAGCAAAAAGGTTGTGTAGTTTGAAACTAAATAAATACACCAAGTTTTGAGGTGTAGAACTGTGACTTACTGGGTAGGACTGAGTGCACTCGAGTCACTGAATGAGTGATGGGAAAGGCCCCAAGACGGTGGCTTTCATCTCTGAATTATTACTTCTTCTGCTCACTCCTTGGGTACATAAGGCACTTCGTGTTCCTTACATTCCGAAATTGATGGAAGGGCTAATCAGAGGAGGCTTTTGTCCACAGCAGACACAACAATTAGCCAACGCTGCTCCGATGATGAGACTTCTCCAGTCTCTCTGGACCCCGGCCGGGATGTCACTGTTTTCCCGCAAGCCCTTCTTGCTTTTTACCCCTCCCACCTCACCAAAAAAAAAGCACCGGGGGAGGCAGGCCAGGCAGGAGCTGACGGGGGGGGGCAGCAGGCCCGGGTGCCCCCCGCCCGGCAGCGCCGCTGAGGGGACGCTGACCGAGGCACGGCGCGGGCCTGGCAGAGGGAGACGCCGCGGCGGCCCCCCCGTCCCGTCCCGCTCCGCATCGCCGGCGCTTGGCGGCCCCACGGCGGCCCCACGGCGGCCCCACGGCGGCCCCACGGCGGCCGCGACCCCGCGGGCGCTACCGGCCGGCGGCCTGCCCGGCTCCGCGCGGCGGGGAGGCGGGCCTGCCCGCCGCTCCCCGCCCCATTGGTTCACTCTGGGGGGGGGGGCCGGACTCTCCGAGCTCCCTGGCGCCTCATTGGCCGAGGCTGCCCCTTTCCCCCTGAGCTAATTGGCGGAGCGGGGCGGGATCCCCTCCGGCGCGGGGGGGGGGGGGGGGGGGCGGTGCTGGTGCCGCCGGTCGGGGGCGGCCGGTCGGTCACCGGCAGCGGGGGCGGCCCCGCTCCTCGCGCCTCGCCGCCGCCGCTGGGGGGGGGGGGGGGGGGGGGGGGGAGGGGGTGTGTGGAGCGGCGGGGGGGGTGGGCGGTGCGGCCGGGCCCGCAGTCGTCAAGGGGAACAGCCGGGGAGAGCCGGCGAAACAAAGAACATGGCGAGGGGAGGAGGAGCCTGCGCGCCCCCCCCTCCACCCCCCCCCCCCCCCCAAGGGCGCTCCGGGGGCGGACAATGCCCGGGGCCGGCCCGCCCCGGCGCCGGGGGGCGGCTCGCCTTCCCCCCGCCCCGTTTCCCCGCCCCGCTGGCAGGGCCCGGCGGGGGGCTGGGGCCGGCTACCCCCCCCCCCCCCCCCCCCCCCGCCCCGCGGGGCCGCCGGGAGCGGGCCCGCCGCCTCCCGCCGCAAGTTTCGCCCGGAGTGGGGAAAGTTGGTCGCGGCCCGGCGGGACCCGGCCAGGTAAGGAGCGGGCGCGGCGGCCGGCGGGCCCCGGGGCTGGGCCGGGGCACCTGCGGGAGCCAGGCCGGGGCTGCCCGCTCCGCCCCGCCGCTGCCAGTCGGCTCCGGTGGGCGAGGTGGGCGCCGGCCGGGGCCGCAGGTGCGGCGGGCCGGGCCGGGCCGGGCCGGGCCGGGCGGGCCGCGGGGAGCCGGGTGGGGGGTTACGGAGCCGCCGCCTCTGGGAACTTTTTTTTTTTTTTTTTCCAAACTTTGAGCGTCGCCCGCCCCGGCCCCGGTCTGCGGGGGGGACCGCCGCCCTGCCGCTGGCTCGGGGGCACCCGGCCCGAAAGCCGGTGGGGGCTGCGCGGCGGCTGCCGGTGCCGGTGCCGGCGCCCCCCGAAACGCCCGTCCGCCCGCCGCCGGCGGTGGCAGCGCGACCTGCGGAGGGAGGTGCGGGGAGCGCTGCCCCTGCGGAACCAAAACTCTCCCTCCAGCCCGTTTTCTTGCAGCCGCGCGGAGCGCGAGACTCTGCTGGTTTTTCGCAACTCTCAAGTTGTTCTTCAGCTCCGCTCCTGAGTAAATATTGCACATGTCAAGATGATGCTGCTAGTAGTGTTGTGAGGCCTTGGTCAGGATTTTCATCCTTTGACTTTGTACTGAGATGGAGACTTTTTTTGTTTTTTTTTTTGTTTTTTTTTTTTAAACCAACTGCCGATTTGAGCATCCAGTTTGAGAGGTGGTTTTAATGGGTGTTCACCTTTTCAGCGTTAGTTTTAAGATGTCTTGAGCTAGTTACCTGACGTGTTGGTTTTCCAGAAGTATTTAAAAGATCTGTTGCTGGGTTGACTAAAATCATGATTAATGTGTTCATAATTAATTCTGTTACAGTCCCAACCCACCCCCCTCCAGATTTACATCTAGGCAGCTCAGTTGCATATCAAAAGCCTCTTCTCGTTTTCATGTAGTGAATTATTAGACTTTCAAACTGATCTTACTCCTTTTTTTTCTCCCTTCAGTCGGACCCTGAACAGTTGAAATGAAATTTTGGAGAGATAGACAGGAGTGTTTCTGTGTACTTGGCTAGACACGAGTAATAAGGACAGCGTAGCCATAGAAAAGCCAGGAGCATAAATAGGCATTATTTTCTCTCAAAGGTTAATTAGTTATCATCTTAATATCTGCACATGTAAGGATAGGATTGGTAGAATTTTAAGGTGGAAGTGGCACAGCAGCTTTGGAAGATACAGTTACACATCACCTCAACTTAAGAAGAATATCTCTTTAAAATGTGTTGACATTTAATTGACCTTTGAAAGTTCATTCTGTTAATCATACTCAAAGCGCTAAAGCTATGGTTGACTGATCTGGTGTTCGTACATTCAGCCGTGCTCAGCATATAAATTCTGCAGCATAATTGCTACTTATTGGGCAAGAGTTTCTTTTCTTCTCTGAAAATGAGAAAGTTTTGCTTCGCCTCCGGCTGGCTGCTATGGGTAGAGTTGTGAATCCAAATGCTTTCCTGCCATCAGTTGTTGTGGCGGGTGTGGCCTCCAGCCAGGCAAGAAATTCCTCTGCTGAAACTGTGTTTTTCTCCTTCCTGAGGCCACACATAGGGCAAGGTAACCTTGAGGGTTACTTCTGTGTCTACTGCGAGTCAAAACACAATGGCTCGCTTTTGTTTTCTCTTTTAAGCTGGTCTAAACTCTATAGCTGTTTGGATGGAGAAGGCTCAGTTTAAATAGCTTGATTGCAGAAGATAACAACCTCCCCCCAAGAAAACTTGGCTCTGAAAGGCAAACCTAATAGACCCGTTTTAAAACGCATACTACCTGCTTTATGGCTGTTGTCCATAGCTTTGTTGTAACCAAAACTTGTGTAGGTACCGAGAATGGAAGCGTTTCATGCAAGGTTGCTATCGAAAGATCTGGGTAAAGATTAATTTCTACTATGTTCACTTTCTGAAGGATAGGTTTCCTGGTGAGGTTAATATTGTCAGCAAAATTTTTCATGCGTAGAGACCTCTCGTGTCATATGTTGAATTTATAAGTCTATCTGTTTCCTTGTGAGAAGTGAGGAAAAGACTAAATGTTAAATGCAGTGTCTGTGATTCCTGATGGATCATTAGCTCTTTGATGTTACCATTGAAAACTAATTAATAGCTCTTACTCTTAATTATAAAACCACTTATAAACTTAGAGGCCTGGCGGTGCTGCTGTACTTTTCTAAGCTATTTTCTCAGTGCTGCTTTTGTAGCAGGAATCCCCTTCCCTAACTGTGAAGTCAGATGTGATGTTCAAGCTGCGTTTGCAGCCAAGTAACTTCCCTGCCACTCTGTAGGGTTAGGAGCTGTTAAACCCTGGGGGGGGTGTAGGGGAATGTCATCTGAGGGAGCATTTTCATCAGGCCTGTGTCCACCAACGGGCAAGTGCTTTGAATACTAAAAAGAGATCCTGTGGTTGAGTTTTGTTTATTTTAGTACAATAGATGCAAGTGATGCACGTGATTCGTTTCACTGAATCTTTAGAAAGCTGAGTGAAGATAAATATGCCAACAGCATGTCTGTCTGTACTTTCTGTACAGCTGATGGAAGGAGGAGGCAAGAAATCCAGGGTAACTTAAGGGCTGGAGCATGCAGATGCCTGATCTGGAACTGCTCTGGTGCCCTGTAGCCCAGAGTTGGCACCTGCTCTGTCCGTATGACCTGTAGGGAAAGGCCATGCCAGGTGTCCTCTGGCCACCCTGGGGGACAAGGAGCAGAGTGCCTCTGGAGGACATGTGGAGAGAGACCTGCCGTGCAGGTCAGCTTTGATAGAGGCTTAGGTCTTGGGTCTAGCTGCGTGAAGGTGTTGATCCATTCATATTATTTACAGTTGCAAACACTGTCCTGGAATGAGATGTCTGAGCAGGGTCCCTTTTCCCAAAAGTCATCCTGCTGATTTGAAGGTGTGATTTGAACATGTTGCTCTCCTGGGTGGCAGAAGCTCCTGGGCTGAGCCTCTCCTGTTGAAATTACTGGACAAAGCATGGATGATATCACCACAAGGATATAAGCATTCAGCTGGGGTAACGAAAGCCAGATTTTGGTTTGTGGCTGAGACGAACCTAGGGGGGAGTTGAAACCTCAGCACTTCTTGTCCTAGTGTTTGTGTTGTACAAAAGGGTTTCTGTTGCAGCCGGTCCATTCCCAAACTCCTGATTTTGTTGTTGGGATAAAGGACAGATCTGGAAGCTGCGCTTTGAAAAGCACGTTCCTGCGTTTCGGCAGTTGAGGTGTGACAGAGCGAGCAGGGGATTTGAGAGCCACAAGAAGGTTTGAATGTGCAATACTGGTTCAAGCTTCCGTGTTGGTACACGTATCCACTGGCAGAAAGTTTTGTGCTTGAAGGGTAGTAGCAGCTGAGCATGGATGTTTAAAGTTTTATTCCTATCTAAAACTCTATCAGGCATCTAAACCCTTGAGGGTTAAAAGGGAGAGTCTTATGAAGGTGATGCTTGATGTTCTTTGCATCTGCGTTCCTAGATTACTCTGAGGAGGATAATGTGAAGTCATTCACTGAAGATTATGGCACTGCATGAAAGGAATGCAACACTGGGCCATAAATTAACAGAAACAGGAAAAGCTCATTCTCAGCTCTGGTTTGTTAATCCAACCGTTTGCATATATAACCCTTTGCACCAAGAACTTGTACTGCATAAATGTACCCTTATTAATAACAGAACCTACGACAGCAAGTATGTTTTGCAAAGAAAAGTTCCCCCTTCTCTCTTAAATTCGGGTGTATAGAAAAGAAGCTATACATCATTCTCTAATAATATTTTGGCCTGTAACAGTTCGTGTTGAATAAAACAGGATGATAGCGTGGTCTTGATCAGCATTAGTCCAGCAGATGCATTTCCTCTGTAACCATTTGAAATTTAAAAGAAGCACGTGTTGGAGTGCAAATGTAGACGGGTTTAGTTGCATTTTAACATACTCGCTGGTCAAGGTGAACCCAAGCCATCCTAATGTAACATGCTTGACATAATCCGAAGGAGATTAGTTATTAATACATTTGAAAAATAAAGTCTGATCTTGCTTCGGTGTTTTTTCTTCAATAACACATGTTCAAAATTAAAGCTTTTATGGCAAGTTGATTATAAACCTTCTATGAGTCTAAGCAACTGGGAGCTGTTCTTGGGGCTGTCAAGATACACTCTAATAGCTCTAATTTTTAGGTGATGACGGGAGCTACATTGATCCACTGGGGATTTTCTCTGGTAATAAGCAGCAAGAGAATTTTTTTGGGTAGGAAACCATTTCATAGGTGTCCTCCCATAGCCTTTTCTCCTTTTCTGTAACTTCTGGGCAATTATTTCTGCTGATCAGGAACAGTATGCAGTTATACCACTTGTTTGCATTTGTAGAAGGCTGTGCTGGAGCAGTGCTTAGAGTAACTCTTATGACTTATACTGGAAATTTTGGAGTGAATGTGGGGAAGCAGGGTAACTTTTAAGTTCCCAATGCCTGATACTAGCAATAGGGTTTCTTCTGTCTTTGCTCTCTCCCTACCTGCTCCCTGTCCCTGGTCTTTCACATGAGGATCTGTGGTCAGGCTAATGCTTTCTCCTCTCTTCATAGGACTGAATTGTTTCTCTTTTTCACTTGGTGGATATTTGTTCCTTGTGCACATTGGTCTCTTGTAGCTTCTGCTTCTGGAAAGCTGAGAGGAGTGATCTTTTCACACTGATGAGAATACAGGTTAAGAGAAATTTGAAAGTGTGACATTAACAGGATTCAGGTTCGTGGCTCTGTCAGTATGATGTCAGCGTTTTATCTAATAGCTCAGACTATGTAATTACAAATTGTGGGAACAAGCAAGTGTTTACCTTGAGGCTGATGTTCAGCCTTGTTCTGTTCCCTCATGCCATAAGTCTGGTCATAGCCAGGGAAAGGGAAGGCTGTTGGAAATAAATGAAGAATGGGACTTGAGTAAGTGTATTGCCCCAGTCTCTAGGTGTTCAGAGGTTAATGCGTTTTCTGTACTTGAAATTCTAGTTTTGTTCCTTAAATGCTGCTGTTCCCTTTTACTTGTGTAGTGCTATGAATAAACAAGCATTTTCTAAATTACTTTAGCACGTGGTGGTGTTTCAAAGTTGCTTTCTGCACACTTTCAGTGGATGTGTTGCTTAACATTGTACCCATAAGTTCTCTTGCATCTAGCAGTAATTTCTGATAATGTTCAAGTACCTTCAGGATGAGTAATCAATTCATTGCACAACCTAATAGGTAAAAAAGTGTAAGCTGAAGCCTTGCAGACTCTACTGCAGCGTGTGGGGCTGGTGCAGTTCACTATGGAGCACATGAAGTAAAAATAGTGTTGTGGTCAGAGGCTGTATTTGTTTTGATCTACTGGAGATGAAGGACAACCGTTACGATTGTGCAAATTATTATTTACGTCCCAATTGTGAGTTTGAGCTCTGTACAAGGGAAGGGGTGATGGAAAGAGAAAAATGGCCTTCCCTGTATTTACGAGGGAGTTGGGATGGGTGCTGTGTCCTGGCTATGGACAAGCAGAACGGATTCCTGCATTAATTGTCTGACCCTGAAATTAGAAATATGAGGTTAGACTTGTAGCACGTGAGGTATGGGTCACCGGACCAAGGCAGGGATCAGAGTTCAAGTCCCTGCTTTTCTTCAAGAGTACAGCAGGTTGTAAGAAACATTCCGCAGAGATGGGACTTCAGAGCAAAGTGCATGTCCTGAATAAAGGACATAAGAAATGTGAGTTAGGAGACAGTTCTCAAAATACAGGATGAAAGCATCCTAGAAATTCTTGGAAGATGTTGGGGCAGAGTTTTGTGTTTGAAGATGGTTCTGGTCAGCCTAAACATACATTCACTTCTATGTGCAGGGATCTCAGATACGGACCACCTGCTGCCTGTAGCATGTCCCCTGTGCCAGGGGCTTGTTCTCACTGCAGCTGTATTTTGCCTTCCCTTTGAATACAGACAGTGAGACTGGGTAAGTTGTGCGCTATAGGTAGTTTGTTCACCCTGTTAAATCCAAGTAAAAGTTCTTTGCTAAGCTTGGGCGATGCTTCTCCCAGATAACCATGAGAAGGAGTTATTGCCATTGGGGGCTGTTTTCTTGTCCAATATACACTGTTGACCCAGTACATGGTCTTTGTATTTCTCTGAAATAGAAAACCACCAACTTAGGCGTTCTGCATTGGGAAGTGGCAGTGTGATGCATACTTATGCACAGCTTCAGGCCGGTCACCTGCTCTGCTCCACAGTGGAACAGCAACCGGCCTGGCACTCGGCTCTGCCGGCGAGCAGAGTGACGCTCTGAACCACCCGGGTGTCATCCACTTCTGCCAGCTGATACGAAAGGACAGTTGAGCCTCTTGCACCTTCCTTTCTGGCCAGTACTTAAGGTTTGTGGGCTTCACAGTGATGCCCTTGTGACACTGAAATGTAGAGTAGTAAACGACACTGAACTGTTCACTGGTTCTATAGCAGAGCATAAATAGCACTGATATTCCTCCTTAGCCTTCACTTGTTGCTGGAGCTGGCCGACTGACAGAGAAGATGTGTTTATTAAAGGCATCCTCATTTCATGTGATCACATACAGAACTGGTTCAGGTACCTTCAAAAGGTGTCAGGAGTGCAAATTGATAAATAATATATTTTGAGTACATACATTTCAGTGAATAAGCCCTACTTACTGCATTTCTTGTGCTTTTGTTATGTGCTCATAACTGAGATTTCAGAACTGTCATGTGTGTATTCTTCTACAGATTGGTTTACTTTAATTACACTTATTTTGTTGCTTCCACACTCTTTCTCTCAAACTCAATTTATCTATTTCTTTTTGGTTTTCTCCTAATAATCTGGTTCTGTCTCAGGTGTCTGTCCATCCATTCATCTGCAAGGGGCTTCTGTGCGTCCCTTTTCCTCCAGAATGATTGTGTGAATAAATTCCATCTCCATTTTAAATGCTTAACTAAGAGAACTCTGGGGCTTTTACTTTTCTGAAGTGATGCTCAATCTCAGATTTATTGTATCGTTGGTTTTGGTTGTGTAATCTGTACGTTTCTTAAGATAATAAATAAATCATTATGGCTAACTCTGGTGGGAAATTTAACTGCTTCAAGTTAGGTTCTGAATACTTATGCTGCCTTAGCAGTTAACCTTTATCTCATCTAATTGAGAGGCAGCTGTATTCAGAAGTAACATGTCACTTTAAACACATTGAGTTTTTAAATGACTGTACTAGAAAAGGACACAGTTTTAATAATGGTTGTTAAAAGCTATCTGACTTCTTGCAGACAGTCCTAATAATGAGAACTATGTGATCTGAACTACTGAACTTCTGGAATTACAATAACTTCTGTTCATGTGTGTGATACAGATTCTTGGAAATCTGAGGAGCAGTCTTCAGCAGCCGAAGAATGCAGTTCTCCCTGGAGGTGTGGGTATGTCACATGAAGGGGACTGACCGAAGTAGGATCAGCTAGTATCAAGAAGTAAGTTCTTGTTTTTTTTTCTCCAGATACATTTCTAGTGAGATGCACGCACCATAGTATTCATTCACCTAGATGGATTAAAAGCTGATTAAAATCCCAAATGATTAGACGCTGGGAAGAGACACTTGGGAAGAGGCTCAAGAAAGTGCACTATATGCTGTTCATGCTTTTACCAATAGTTTTGACATCTTGTTCCCAAACATTTGGATATTCTGTCTCATTTGGTGCGTAATTTCGACTGCTTGTCTTCAACTGCCTGCTCAGCTCAGGGGGAGCCTGCTTCTTCAGGCATTTTAGAGTGAGTTCAAATGCAGTTGGGAGAATTGGATTCATCGGCAACAGTTGGAGATATTCATGCTATATCGTAACAGCTGTGAACTTGGGTTCATATAAGTAATGTGTGCTTAATCTTCCTGTACTGCCAGTGACAGGAAGAGGAGGAGTAATTTTTTTTCCATATTTAATGATGATTTGAAGGCTTTTGACAAGCAAATTTGAAAACATGTACTACAGACCAAGTTAGGAAACAATTGCCATGAGTTAAGTATTTTTCAAGTTCTATGCAGCTTTGAATTTGCATTTTTATCTGTTGGTATTCCAGTGTTATTCTAATATGATTAAAAACTATTTTACCTGCCTGAATTTGCATATCACCTCATCTGTATGGAGGGTGATGGAAAATGTAGAGGCCCTGATTTTGAATTCTAGCAGCACTTGAAAAATTTTGGTTTAGTTGCTTTTTTTGTATTGTGTGTTTTTTTGTTTGTTTTTTTTCTTTATCACCAATAATCCATTTATCTGGCTTGGAAATTTCTGGAGTGAGTGAAAAACAGTTGAATTATTTTTTTACCTGAACAGTGCTTTAGCTGCTTTAGCACCACCAGTTTGCCCCTTTCTCTTTCTGTGACCTGAACTGTAAATTCATGAAGACATTGAAAAGTTAGAATGTTGGTCCTTTTTTCTTACATGTATTTGTTCAAAACCTCATCAAGATCAGCCTGTATCAAGCCCTGATGATTGATGTTTGAGTCTTGGACGCTTTCGGCCTAAACACCTCTGTAAGAGTACTGTACAAATTAAAAACCAGAGCAGTAAAGATAACTGATGGTGGTCTGTTGCCTAACAGTCCATACTGTGTGATAAAATGCCTCACAGTTTTAGATTGACCTTGCCTTGACTTTCATACAGATATAATCTGTTTGATGTCTTTTAAAAGCAGAAAGGAAGCCATACATGGAGTAGAATTGCATGTTGTTGCTGACATAATGTCCTTCATCTAATTAATTTGAAGTAGTAGGATTTTATAGTCTCTTGACTTTTTCTCCCTTTTAAGTTGTAGATACTAGGCTGGTAAATTTACAAATGAAAGGCTAATCTCTGTTTCATGGCTAGGTATAATTAAGCTGAAATCTTCTCTTTCTGCAGTCAGTGATTTGCATTTAAGGATTTTTTGTTGCTTTTTAAATTTTACAGTCTATATATATTGTCTTGCAAGGTGACTCTGCTTTTCTCAGCTGGTTTGTGATAAAGATGGAACTTGTCAGAAGAGGAACTCTTTTTTTTTTTTTTTTTTTTTTTTTTCCAAAAGCATTGTTATAGGAAATCTGTTTTCTTTCCCTCCTGTTCTTTGGTGGAATTCATGCTGGGACGTCAGTACCTCCTCATATTGTCAACTTTGTGAAGTTGAGCACCTCGCTGAGCATTTCATAGCTTGTCATGGCAGCTCTCCTAAGGAGAGGGGAGAGTGTATCCCATGGATCTGGTGTGGTATATAGATGCCAAGTGCTAGGAATTCCGGGAATGTAGAGTTGTGCAGCACTGATAAAGTTTGCTTTGTTTCCTTAGTGACTTGACCCATTGAGAAAATGTGGTTCCCTAGGAAGCTTTAATACCTCAAAGTTGGTATTGAATAAAGGGAAAGGCCTCAGCATAATTCTGCTTGTTTTCACCTGCTGCCTGAAAGATTAATTTTCTTGACCTTAGTATAGAAAATATAACCCTGAGTTTTGAAAGTGATTTATAGAGATCCTTCACACTTATCAGTTTGAGTAAATGTGCCGCAGGCTTCTGCATTCCAGCTACGGTCTTTTCATAACCTACTCTGTTTACAGTGCGGTAATTTCATTTGGGGGCAAGAAAGTTTCAAGGAAAAAACACCTTCTAATTAGAGTGATAGAATCGTTCTGCTTGCCTGCTGCGGTTTCATATGACTTCAGAAAAATAGTTGAGTGATTAATCTTTAATTTTCCCCATCATTAACTTAATAAGGAAACAGGAGATAGAATGAAAAACAAACAGCAGAACTGTACAACAGGGACGTTATTATGCCAAATCTTTTTGTTTTTTTCATTTGGTGAGAAATGCCATTCTGCCAACTACATGAAGTGTAGCAGCAACTAGTTAGCTCAGATAATTTGTAGAAATCTTCTAACAGGTTTGAACTTTATTGAAGCCTTTGCAGAACTTGCTACACAGCTTCCTCCCTCTTTACCACAGACCCCTGTGGGTTGGGTGTTGTTTTTTTTTTTTTTCTTCCAGTTTTAGTTGGAAGCAAATGTTGCCTAAACTGACTTCTAATAGCACAGAATTCCCTGGCACCCACTTTTTTTTGTGGGGAAGGAAGCCATCCCAGATACTGTAGTGAAATACCCTTAGAAAGGGTTTGGTTCTATTTTTGTGCCAGTTTCTATCTTTAGTCACTGTGCTGATAAGTGAACTTAGTTGTGGCGTAGTGCAGTTTTTGCAATGAACATGACAGGATTGCTCTGGTCTCTTGGAGAGCAAGGCAAATACAACCGTGGCAGCAAGTTGCTCTTTTCATATATCTTTTATTCTTACTGGATGTAAAATAGGCAACATAATTCTAAAAGTTTAATGCTTGAACAGAAAATACACCTGGCTGTTTGCAAAAGTTCCTCTGGAAATTGTACTTTATTTCATTTGTAAATACTCAGGAGAACAGTCCCGTGTACATCTGTGGGTAGCAACACAGCAACAGAAGTTGTAGTGATCTTAACTAACCTGCTTGGAGGCCTCTGCATGTTAATAATATAAAGTAAACAGCTGAGGAATGTGTATTGCTGTTGACAGTGAGCGACTGTAAACATCCTCGACTGGAAGCTGTGAAGCAGCAGATGGGGCTTTCAGTCGGATGTTTGCAGCTGCCAACTGCCACAGACGTCAAGAAATGTTTGACACCTAAAGCATAGTTGTCTGTTTAAAACTTCTAGTCTATTTGGTTTATCACAGACATATGAATTTAGGCCAAACTTTTCTATGTACTGCTTAATCTTTCTTGTGATGTCTGTGTCTGAATATCCAGGAGTCATACAATCTCTGATAGGAATAAGAGCAAAAATGGAATCAGTTAGGTTATATTTTTAACTGCAAAATCAATTCTAAGTTTTCAGAGGTGAATTTCTGTACAGCTTTCTTGGCTGTACAGGTTGCTTGGCTTAATTTCTAGACTCCAGTACAAAGTTTTTACAAGATTATTTTGTATGTTTAGTATTTCTGCCATGGTTCATTTAGAATTTGAAATCCTAAGCCTTGTAGGAAGCAATCACTTACAGGAGTTCTGGAAACTAGCAATGCAACAGTTAGAGCAACTATGAAAAAGAAGTATAAAAAAAATAATTTTTCCTGGAAGAAGCCCAAAGCTATAAAATGATGGGGAGGTCAGGGAGACCTCATGTGACTGGGTTCACCTCTGACGAATCCTAGCATCTCAGCTATTTGAGGTTCAGTGTTCCTCCTCCTTCTCCCTTTTGTTTCATTCTTCTTCCCACCTCCCTTTGGGGGAAAAAAAAAAAAAAAGAGGAGGAGGATGTACTGAAAGCTGATTCATACTTTTCTAGAAGTCAGTTGAGACAATTTCAAGACTCTAGTCCTGCCAGCTAGTTTTATGTGTGGGTGGACCTCTGTGCTTAAATATGACCCCAGGACACAGAGAACAGTTTATGTGTTTGGGATGGTATTTAAAGATGATTGCTCTCATGCCAGAAAAAGAACCGTGAGGTTGTAGCACATAACTGATTTAAGTTGATACTGAAAGCACTAATGTATTCACTCTTGAGAGGAGATACGGATCTTGTTGGTATGTATGTTAAGTATCTGTGCCTTTGGTGAAGAGAGTTTTGTTGTTAACTTGTTTTTTCTTGTCGTCCGTATCCTTGTTTCTCAAATACGTATGCATGTTCCTATAAAAGTACGAGGGGGCATAACCTAAACATTAATCTGTCCCTTTACATTTCACATAAGATGCAGATAACCTAAGACTCTCTGGAGTTTCTGACTTTTTTTTAAAGGAGCTAATGTCCTGGTCAGAGTTCTTCGAAAACATTATTGACTTGTAGGTAGTTAAAGCAGTAGCTGCAGTGTCCAAAAAGCATGCTCTACATTTCAGGAAGTTTCACGAATCCATGCTTTGCAAATAGCTGTCTCTGTAGATTTGTACACTTGACATAGATTCAGATTATACTGTATTTCAGTAGTGCTTGAGGACTCCTGTTATGATTAGCACTGTGTACCTTCTTGCATGCTTCACTGTCTGTAGTAAGGTATGAGTTCTCCCAACACGGGATTACTGTCTTAATCAAGACCAGCAGCATCAAAGTGGAATCCAGATGATGAACGGGGGGACAAACAAGAAGAGTGAGAGAAAAAACAGGGGGACAGAGTGATGGGTTTAGGAGTAACTGTCTGTGTGTGTATGTAGGTGGCTTTGCATTGTTTACTTAATTAAAATGCAGGAAGACAGAAGATATATCTTCTTAGCCAGCAATTTGTCTGGCTAAAAATATCTTGATAGATGATGGTTTAGTTGGATGGCATGTGGATTGGAAGTTAAGACAGACACTGATGAAGCTGTCTTTTAGGTTGATCTTTTTTCGAAGTACAGCAGAGGGAGCAGGTGAAATGGACAGAGGTTTCTAAAAGCCTTTTCTTGCAAATCTAAGAAACTCTGGAGAGCTTGTAGTGAACTTAGGAGTCAATTATGA